AAAAAAAAAAAAAAAAAACTTTTAATCAGCAGATGGAGTAGTAGAAGCATCTATGCTCCCTCAGATCCCACACTGTTCTGAGATCTTTGCTCAAATTAACTTGATAGGCCTAAGCCCCCAACCACACACTGCACAATAATGACCTTTTCCCCTTTGTTCTCGAAAGCAAACAGGATTAAAAATTTTTACTTATTGTCTATTATGCTAAAGCAGGTCACATTAAGTCTCTGAGCTTTTCCTTTCCTTGCAACAAGGGAGGAAAACATATTGGCCAGATCCCTGTGGAAAATATCTGTCCAGCAATTATGCTCTCCTATTTTTCTGATGTTTCTATTTAAAATATAAAGAGAACATCAGACACTGAACCTGCTTCTAATGAGGTAAGTTACGACTGGGTGTCAATATGGGCCACCAATTTTGGCCCCAAGTGAAATAAAAGGAATTTGAACATTTTGTCCCTTTAAAGTAACTGTCTCATTTTGCTAACAGGGCTGATAGTGGGTTGTCTGTGCCCAAGAAAAGAGTTTGAAATCTCCATGGAATTTTAGAATATTGTTAAAAAGTTTCTCTTAGGTAAAGAATAAAGGAGATAATCTTTTGTCTTTGTCCATAGGTGCTCTGATCCTTTGGCTTATTACAAAGAATGGAAATGAGGCTGATATCACAGAAGGGAGTCATCTCTGATTTGACATTACTCTAAAAATCATCCACTCTTACTTCTTCATAAATCCTGGCATTGAGTGAAAATTATCTCATCCTGAAAAAAAGGCATTAGTAAGTTTTATTCTTAATTGGCAAAGAATTATTTTTGTAAGGACCAAACTTACTTATCAGTAGGTTCACCTTTCGCTAGTTTTTCAGCACAAGCAATAGCTCCCTTGTGAAGCCAGCAATATGTATCCACAGCTACTACCTGCCCTTTATACTTTCTCACGTGGATGGGTTCAGAAGCTTCTTTGATAAACTGGAGTAATCCTTGTATTCCCATAGTGCCAAGTTAACTACGTGCTATGAAAGGAAAACAGAAATATTTAAAGCAGAATATATTTACCAAAAAGTTTTAGAAATAAAAACAAAGAACTTGGAAACAGATATAGAAACTGTTGCTGTTCAGATATTTGAGAATCATTGCTTTTTATTATTTTCATTGGGCTCCTCCCCGTCAAAAACAATTTCTACATTGTATTTTATATTTACATTAATTAATATTACCGATATTAATCACCAATACCAATGCCACTTGATAGCTGCTCAATGCTTACTCTTTCCAAAGTGCTTTCACATTTGGCATCATCAATGTATGTTCCAAGCCTAAACATAGCCCAGTATTAAGCACCTGAAGTGCCCAAAAAGTATGTGTCTCTCCTTTCTCCAAAAAGGAACTGTTAAAATCTACAAAATTAGGTATGCTAAGGTACTACATTGTCTCCACACAAGGCATTATAAGGGCCAACATGTAAATTAGCATAGGAGTGTTGTTGTTGTTATGTGCCATCGAGTCGGACCGACTCATAGCGACCCTTCTTTGGTCTTCCAAGGCAGTATCACTATGAAAGTAGATTGCCCCATCTTCCTTCCGAGGAGTGGCTGGTGGGTTTGAACCACCAACTTTCTGGTTAGCAGTCAAGTGCCTTAGGCACTATGCTACCAGAGTAGAAACTCAAAAAACCACTTTGTAGGTACATAGGCATTTCAATTCAAAATAAATTCAACAAATTTATAGTACTGGATCTATACTTTTTCAGAACTGAAATACACTGCCATAAGAATGCATTATTCCAAGCAATGAACATTCTGCTAACATCAGTGGTGCCACTCTCTAAAAGTCAGTCCAAAGAAAAGAAACTGTGCGTGCTGTGCAAATATAGCTTAAGGCAAATCCTTTAACTCCCCTTCCCTTTCCATCCAAGTTGATGCATCTACTCCCTTCGTATAAAGAAATTCAGAGAAAGAAGATGGGGCAATCTACTTCCATAGTGATACTGCCAAGGAAGCCCAAGGAGGGATCGCTATGAGTTAGATACGACTCGCGGGCTGTGAGTTTGGTTATGGTCCTTCTACAAGTTCCGGTGGCACAGTACCTAAGGCATTTGGACTGCTAACTAAAAGTCCAGTGGTTCAAACCCACCAGCCACTTCAGGGGTGGAAGATGAGGCAATCTACTTCCATAAAGATTAACTGCGTCAAAAACCCAGTGGGGGTCGCTATGAGTCAGAATCGGCTTGATGGCAGTGTGCTTTGTTTGGTTTATGGTCCTTGTCTAACCAAATACCCACCACCTTCCTCTTCCTAACCAAACCCCTCTTCTCCCTTCTATAAAAAGTGAAATAAAGCAATGGACACTAAACAGTTGCTGTGCATTTCATAACAGACTTTTCCGACTAGACATCAAATTTGGAAGGAATGGAAGAAGAAATTACAGGATCGTTAATCAGCCTTACCCTGATGATTCGTATCAGAGTTGTGATGTTCTAGTCCAGGTATCAAATTGTAGCAGCTCAAAGAATCTTAGTTCTACTTCCAGCTACAGGAGTGAGCCCAAGGATTTTCAATTTTAGACACGAGAGGTCATTTGGATGCACATAGTCATCAAGTCCCAATTTGAGGAAAACAGTCCCTAAATAGAGATTTCCTTCACTTTGAGGACAACTGACATCATTTACATTTCATGAAGCTTACATAAGTTTCTTCTAGTCTACGTAAATGTCCTAGAATACATATTTTCTCTTTAGCACAGTAAGAATGACTGAATGCACATATCATCTCAAGGCACCCAAGGTAATAACAGCAGCAACTTTTCCAGTTAGTTCCTAAGTCTAGCTGGGATGTTAAGGAGTGGCTGGTAACTCCATTCCAGGTAACACGTTTTGTTTGACCTGCATAATGAGAAACATTTGCTTGTCAACATTTAAGTTGGGAAACCGCAGGTAAAAACTAGGGTGCTAACTTTATTAGATAAGTGCGACAGTCTCTGCTCCCTTTGGTGAAACATCTAGAGCGAGCGTGGCTCCTCCCTCTGGTCATTGAATGGCAGGCCTCACCAGGAGTGACACATTTCTTCGGAACTAAACCCTCCCACACCACATACACAGGCAGTGTCTCCATCCCACGTGTAAGGGCTTTGCTTTTATAAAGCCGCCTCCCCCAAGTCTCCAAGGAGGTTCAAAGGAATATTACAACTCAAGCTCTATTTTCTTCCCAAAAATACCACCATAAGCCACGCAGCGATGCTCTTTAAACTTTTTACATTTCTTTTTGTTTGGGAAGATCAGGTCAGCCTTCTCATCCTCTCTGTTTAAAGACCCTAAAACCCGAGAGGAGGGACAAAGGTAACGCGTAAATCAATCCTTGGGTGGCCTGGCAGGAATCCCGCTCCCACCCCCCAGGGCACACGCACGACCCCCTCACTGCACTCTCTCGGTAGGGCTCTCCCCGCCCGCCCAGGGACAGCCCAGTGTGAGCAGCGATACCTGCTGCCCAAGGCCTCTCACTTACTTGGGCCACCGGACCAGAGGTAGGCGGCGTGGGACACAAAAAGCCAGGCTGCAGAATACCTAAGGGCCAGCTTTTCAATTTGCGCGGGATTGGTCACACCCCGCCCCAAGCGGAAGTGGCGCCAGCGCGCCGCTCTAGACGCCGGCTCCGCCTCCCGCGGTCCCAAATCGCTCACTCAGCACCGGAGTCCTGCCGGCTTGCGTTGTCTGTGTAGGGGTGCATTTCTTCTGCCTGATTCACATGCAGCCCTTTGAAGATGCAGACAGGGACCGATGCCCGGGAATTTGGGAGTTTTGTTCTCTGGAGAAAATGTAGTTTTCTCTTGACTGCGGTTTCTGTTCTGGGTCGTTGAAGTTTAAAGAGCGTTGCTGCGTGGTTTATGTTGAAATTTTAGGAAGAAAGAAGAATCCAAAATCCAAAAGCGCTTGAGTTTGTAAAATTCCCTTACATTACAAGGGGAAGGGTGGATTTGTAAATAATTTAACTGGTAAGTCCGGGAAAACTTCATATTTATATTGGAAAAGAAAAAAAAAAAAAAAAGCAGTCATGAAAATGGGTCTTAGGTACACAGCCTTTAAAGACAGTTTGGACTTTGGTGGTCACTTGCCTATAGTTCCATATCCTATAATACTGCAGATTTGGTCGCTGTTCTTTTAGGAATACTGTGGTGGAAAAGTGAGGAGACTTTGGCTTAACCACAAAGTATTTTCAAAGTCCAGAAATGTCAGGCATGATAATTCAGACAATTAGACCTTTTTTGTTTTGTTTTGTTTTGTTTAATGCTCCCGTTTGACTACCTTCTCTACGTGTTTCTCCCATGCTTCCCTAAAGTATTTTCATGCTCATGTCATTATCCCAACATTAAAAAACCAAACTCACTGCCATCAAGTTCATAGCAACACTGTTGGTTTTCAGAGGCTGTAAATCTTCAGGGAAGTAGATTGCCCCATCTTCCTTCAGTGGAGCGGCTGATGGGCTTGAACCGCTGATGTGATTAGCAGCCAAAAATGCCTTATCCACCACGCCACCAGAGCACCTGTCATCTCAACATAACACTATAAAATTGCTGAGCAGGTGCCAGTATGGGAAAAGGTGCTCAGGGGCAGCAGGGATGCCTCCACCCAGTGCTGGTCATTGAGCTGAGTTTAGGAGTGGAGGCCCGAAGAGTTACCTTCCCTTCCTGTTCCAATACCTAGGGTAAAACACACCCTGGACCATCTTGGCTTTGACTGTAGGAAAAGCTTTGGGAGAGTTCCAAACAACAGTAGGTTAAAGTGGGGTTTGTATATGAGTGAGAGTCTCTAGGTGGCACAGTTAAGTGGTGGACTATTAACTAAAATGTTGGTAGTTAGAACCCACTTAGGGTGTGTGTTAGACTGGGTTCTCTAGAGAAACACAAAAAACCAGCAAGGTGTGTATATATATATATATATATATATATATATATTTTTAGAGAGAGAGAGAGAGAGCTTTATCTTAGGTAAATGGCTCACAAGCGAATAGAAGCCGATAAGTCCAAGCTGAAAAGTCCGTCTCTGGAGGAGATGGGGCTTGCGGCCGCCTTGGTTTCCACAAGCACAGTGGAGCCGAGAGATTCAAGCTGGCATGCAGTATATTGGTTGTTGTTTCCAATAAAAGATGAATCCAAGATCTCCAGGGCGAGCGGTAAGCCGCTCACTCAAGGAAGTCTGTAGTTCGGAATGCCGTTCTTCCAGATTGTCCTTGGAATATCATTGCAAGCAGGCCACACCCCTAGGGAAACTCCCCTTGGGCAGACTGGCCACTCAGAACTCAGTCATCTGATCCCATCATGGGAACAACCACCCAGAACTGGGGTCCAGCCAAGTTGACACACAGCTCCAACTATCACAGGGTGCCTCTGAAGAAACCTTAGCAATCTGCTATCTGAAGGTGATAGCTATGAAAACCCTGTGGAGCAGTTCACTGATGGAGGCTGGTTAGTTTTGGTTATTTAAGAGCAGAATGACTTATCTTTCTCCTGCCAAGTGACTGGTGGGTTTGTATTGCAAGACCTTTTGGTTAGTGGCCCAATGCCTTAAGCACAGTGCCACCAGAGCTCCTTGTCCAAGTTCATCCAAGTTATGTGGTGTTTGGCAGATTCTACATTATTCTTTAAGGTTGCATAGTATTCCATTGTGTATATGTACCACAGTTAGTTTATCCATTCCTCGGTTGATGGGCACTTAGGCTGTTTCCATCTCTTTGCTGTTGTGACTAGTGCTACGATGAAGATTGGTGTGCATATATCTATTCATGTCCTGCCTCTCAATTCTTTAGGACACATACCTAGTAATGGGACTGCTGGACAAATGATATTTCTGTTTCCAACTTTTTAAGGAATTGCCATACCAATTTCCACAGTGGTTGTATCATTTTATAGTCCACCAGCAGTGTATGAGAGTCCCAGTCTCTCCACATACTCACCAGCATTTGTTCTTTTCTGTCATATTGAACTTTGCTATTAATGCTGGA